TTGATTGATTGATTTTTTTTTTGTAGAGACTTGATTTTTATGATGGGTGCCTATTGGGACACCGAGGTGTTGGAGCCTTACCCTTGTGCGAGGGGGCGGGGGACGCAGCTTCTCAGGAATTGGCTAGGAAGAGCTGTAGGAGCGCCCCAGCTAAGGCATCTCCTCTAGAGACCCAGCCCAATTGGCTGGTGGAAGACATGGGCGTCCCTCGGACTCATTCGGTTTCTGTCCCGTTATAAAACGGTGCTGTGCTTCGCTAGTGAGCCATGCAGCTGGTAATATTTACATTTTCCGCTAGCTAAAAAAAAATCATACCTCCAGTGTGGTTGTATTCGCTCGGGTGTAGAACTGACCGACCGTGATGGATTGGAGGCATGGTCAAGATGCCGAGGAAGGCTAGATCTTGCTTTATAAATCTGAATAGAAGCTGTATCTTTAACTATAATGACCGTGGGACCCATGAAACAATATCTTTTTTTACTCTTTTTGCCTAGTTTGTATTTTAAAAAAAAAATTTTTACTTTATATGTAATCTAGCAAATAAGTGTACCTTCCAGGAAGCCTATATTTGTTTTTGCTCTGATCTTAACCTGAATAATATAGTGAGGGACCCTTAGCATATTAGTAAAGCTTTAGGTTTCTTTTTAACTGGAGAAAAAATGGTGTGGCACATGATCACATGTAACACAATACATCTGTAGCCCCCTTTTTCAAAATCCTAAATCTGCCCATGGCTGCTGGAGCCCATTCTGCACTGACGGATAGCCTTGGAGGAGATGGGGCACAGGCCAGGACCTGGCGCTGTCTCCTGTCTCTCTGTGTTGAATAATAGCTGGGAGGTGGGCCTGTGTAAGGGTACCCATGCCCTTGCCCACCTCCGATCGCAGCCTGGGCACCTGTTTCTCAGGGCTTCCTCTCACTGCTGTTATCTAGGGCTCTTACAACCTAAGCAGAGCCAGGACGCTGGTGACACTTATCCCCTCAATTGCAATATTACTCCCCCCACCACCAAATTCTGAGCAGGGCGGATAGCACTAAGTGACCCACTGTCCTGCTTTTACACCTAACTTGTACTTTTCCCTTTCCACTAGTGCTCGAAGGAGACAACTGTGTGTTTGATGGGATTATCTATCGCAGCGGAGAGACCTTCCAGCCCAGCTGTAAATACCAGTGCACCTGCAGAGATGGGCAGATAGGCTGTGTGCCCCGCTGTAACCTTGACCTCCTGCTTCCTGGCCCGGATTGCCCTTTCCCCAGGAAAGTCGAGGTCCCTGGAGAGTGCTGTGAGAAGTGGATTTGTGGCCCTAAGGATGAAGTGATGTTAGGAGGTTTTGCTATGGCTGGTGAGAAACTCAGACCAGATTTTTTCATTGTACGTTCACCTTAGCCACACAACAGCTCTGTATTAGAAACATCCTCTTATTAAAACTAGAACTCCACTTTCCAGGTTTTCTTTAAAAGCCAAGCAAAGTCCATAATGGCTAGGCAAACAACCAGGAATTATTGCAAGCAACCAGGAATTGCAAAGACATTAAACTATATTCAGAGAAGACCACGTGGCTATTTTAAAAGCAATTGGCTTCTCTTTCTTTTCAGTGTTCACCCCCCAAATATTAGCAATTTAGTATAGTGTATAACACTGGTTCTCCCATAAATAACACTGGATAGGGACCAAGTCCAAATCTTGCAGACATACTCTTAATTTTTTCCATCTTCAAATCAAGGAGTTGGGTTCAGTTTGTTCTCTTTTAGACTTTGCTACTGACTTCCTAAGTGGCCCTAAGGAAATCATTTAACTGTGCTGATTCCCAGTTCACTCATCTGAAAAACAACAACATAGCCTTAATGGTACGTACATGACAGGGAACTTGAACTCTGGATAATTTGAGATATGCTATGAACTCTTAGATGAAAGGCACCATGTGATGCAAGTACAAAAAAATTGCCACTTTTATCCAGTGCTTCCTTGTAAAGGTTCACTTTTTATTGGTGGCAGGTTGACCTGTACACTACCTGTACTGGGGTGACATGGTATTGTCCCATCTTCTGCAACTGGCTAGCCCATTAAAAGGCCAATATTTTGGAGCCTTATCTTTTATAAAAGGGGAGAGAATTCCTTCTCAGGAATTTTGCAGGAAGAGCCATAGGAGTGCTAGAGCTAATGCATCTCCCTTAGAGACCAAGCCCAATTGGCTGGCTGAAAAAATGGGAGTCCCAAGGTCACTTGAATTCATTCTGTTTCTGTCCCATTATAAAACCGTGTCATGCTTCACTAGTAAATAGTACATCTAGTAATATTCACATTTTACAGCTTAACAAATGCTTTGATGGCAGTATAGCAATATAGCATTGATTGCAATCTTTACAGACACTTTGTCTAATCATAATGCCTCAGGATCAATTGACAGTCTCTATAAACTTCCTCCAGAAACTCAGTCTGTTTAATAATTGACAAGAGTGCTTTCTTCCTGTAGCCATAACAACATTATTTAATTTCCATACTATTTATTAGAATTTGATATCTCGAAAGGGCATGTGGCTTTAGGACTTGTGATACTTAAATCATAAACTAATGCCTGAGACTTTCTGCGGGAAAAAGATAAACATTTTGTAAAATATAGTCACAAACTTGATTTGGCAAATGATAAAATTGCTGTCACAACTAGCACTGACTATCACTAAAGTTCAGCAGAAATGAACCAAGGACTCCATGGGTATGAAGCCTAAACTAATCTCTCCAAGCAGGGGAGGCAGGGTTAGTGCGCATATACATACTCCGTTGACTGTACCAAGTAGTACCCATTGTCTTGATTTAAATGGAGGATTTTGATCGCTAGCACTGCCAAGAAGCCACCTTTTAAAATGCTGAAAAGACAAATCTGCAGTATAAAAAAAAATCACTCTAATAACTAGCTTTTGAAGTTGCCAAATCATATTTCAAAATCATGGATTTATCTTGTTCACTGTATAATGAACTGGGTGGTGTTAAAATATTCTGTGAGAATCCAATGTCTTTCTCATCATGGAAGATTGTGGGTTTTTTTTATTTCTAGCATACAGACAAGAAGCCACAGTTGGAATTGATGTGTCTGATTCGAGTTCCAACTGTATTGAGCAGACGACAGACTGGAGCGCCTGTTCCAAAAGCTGCGGAATGGGGTTTTCTACTCGCATCACCAACAGGAATCGACAGTGTGAGATGGTGAAGCAGACACGTCTTTGCATGGTTCGACCTTGTGAAAATGAACAGCCAGCTGATAAGGTATGATCTGAGCACTGGCTAGAGCTACAATTGTCAGCCAGGGTGCCAGGAGATCCTTATGTGGGTGCCACACAATATTAGCACTGGTAGGTCTTCAAATCTATACTTGATTCACAAGATGAAACCCAGAGATTTCAAATAGAAATCCAGAGTGTCAAGCACATTGTGGTCTCTCTGAGTTTTTTGCAGCAGCAGAATTGCCCTACTATTTTTCTATAGTCAAAAAATGAATGAAAAGAGCTGGCATTTTATGAGGAGTGCCTTGGGTCTAAAAAGTTTGAAAACTACTGGGCTCTTTGCCTTGTTTCCTCAAGCTAGTTTTTTCTGAAGTAAAAAATAATGCTCAAATTGTATTTGCAATTAACTGATATATAAATGAGCTGTTTCCTTAACACTATGCATTATAGAAATTTTGGGTAGTGAGGCTATCCAGTAGCTGATGATGAGTGCTGTCAGTTAGTATAATGTTTTTAGCATCTTGTATTATAGGTACTGAATACAGTGATGTAGCATAACTGAGTAGTTGTTCAACTTCACCTCTATTTAATATAGCTCCATTCACTTAAAATGTTAAATTCTGAGTTTGTAATTTGGTCCTGAATATAATTTCTTTATGCTCATTCTGTTGCCAAAACTAAGTCTTATGAAAAAAGTTTTGTTAAGTTACCAAAGGCATGCACACTATAAGACTTAAGGTGTCCATGTCAAAGGTCACATGGGGGGAAAATTGGTAAAGAACTTTATTGGAAAAGCTGAGACTTATTGGTATAGAGCCAGGGAAGAGACAGGAAACAGGCCCATGTCTTCAAAACCTACAGCACGCCTTGTCATATGTCCATGATTTTGTTCTGTGTGATTCATTAGGATATTAAGACTTACCATGCTACTCACACTTAATGTCGCTTCATGTCCTCTTTTCAGAAAGGAAAAAAGTGCATCAGGACAAAGAAATCACTGAAGGCTATTCACTTTGAGTACAAGAACTGCACTAGTACACAGACCTACAAACCCCGTTATTGTGGGCTCTGCAATGATGGACGATGCTGCACTCCACACAACACCAAAACAATCCAGGTTGAGTTCCAGTGTCCTCAGGGCAAAGTCATCAAAAAACCAGTGATGTCAATCAACACCTGTGTGTGTCATAAAAACTGCCCTCAGAATAACGCTTTCTTTCAACAGCTGGATCCAATGTTCAATGGAGCAAAAATATAAAATATTATTTATATTGAGTGACTTGGAATGTACAAATAGTTTTATATAAAACTTGACCCACAATCAGCTGAATGTAAGAAATGTACTTGTAAAATATCTATTTTTCTTCAAAGTCTCAAGATTTTTTCTTCATTGAACTATAGCCAGTTCAATACCTCATGTTACATTTAGAGACGTCTGTTTTGTTCAGTGTCTTGGATTGTACCTTAAACTAGAAGGTAAAGATGAGTGGGCAAATGACAAATCTTTCTCCTTAGAAAAAATTAGGCTTTCAGGGAAATTTGGTTTCAAGGGCAATAGGGCAGGAGTCCTTTAATAGCAAAATGATTCCTTGGGAAAATGCTTGATTCTATACTGTTTGGAGGTTCTGTGTTCTTGTCCTCTTCTATGCATAATGTACTAGCTCATTTAATGTTTTTACATAGTTTGCTGTTTTAACAAATTATTACTGCAAAAATCCCATTGGCAAAGAATGCTTTGCTCTTGGACCCATGTACTATTCTTTGTTTGCACACCTGATTTTTATTTTATTTTTTTACTGAAAATCAAGTGCAGTTTATGGTCTCAAGAATAACATAAATGGAAGTTTTGATACCAAGATACAGAACACAGATAAGAAGAAGCTACACTAAACTCTGCTGCTACTTCAGCTGCAATTTGAGCCCAATCCAAACCCCATTAAAGTTGATTATCTCAATGGAATGTGGTCCAAAATATGTAAGAAGTAAAAGAATAAAAGAAGTAAAAGGCTTGTAAATTCTGAGTAATGTTTGTATTATAATGCTCCATTTTACAGAAAAAGGAATATATGTAAATAGAAACTGTATATATTGTAATATAGCTTATTGTAAATGTCTAAGCATTAGTAAATAAAAGCTTTACTATGTAATAAGAAATCCTGTTCCATCAGTTGTCTTCACGCTAAACACTTCACAAAAGGTGGGATGGGTAAAAGTCAGAACTCAATTAAAAACAGACCCCAGAAATTAAAAATTGCTTAGCAATTTTCAAAACCTAATGTGTCTTTTCTAATAGTGATCCAATATATTGATTCTGGAAATGGGTGAATAATCTGTGGGGAGGGTAGGTGTGGAAAGTTTCTATCTGCTCAAAGGTATTATACGGTACTTGAAATGAGTTTATTCCCCAAGGAAGAGATGAGTCTGGACAGAATGTGACCCAAAGTCTTTTGGTGGTGAAGTTTTGGCCTGTGGTTGTGCATTGTTTTGTTAACCACAGTAGCTTCCAACATCTACTGGCCACAGTTCTATTTTAAGCTGCTATTGACCTTTGTCTACCATAAAAATAGGAAATACTTCATCCCTCGCTGAAGTTTTTTTTTTAAAGTAACCGCACATAAACAGACTACAGCCAATGAGAGTCCTATTAAACAATTTATTCTTTGTAGTAGCACCTACACAACACAATCATAGAGCAAAACTCTATTGGCGAAGACACTGTACAAACAAAAAGTCCCCTAGGCACGTACAGTCTGGGAACTACATTATATTCATTGCCTTTCCCACTTGTTTTGGGTTATGCAAACTTGTAACCTTTACTTCATAAAATAAAGGATATAAACCCAATATCAAATCACTGTACATAAACTTGTTAAGAGAACTCCCATGAGTATAAATGGGATCAAAATTTTCTTAAATAATATCTAGGTCATCTTGAAGATGTTTTTCTGAGATGGAGGTCTGACTCAACTGAACCTAACACAACAATCAATGAACAGAATAATAAAAGGGAACTATTGATAACATCCTGCTAGAACTCTTAGAAATGCTATAAGGTATCATTAATGTAGTTCATTGTCAGAGTCGTAAACGTGCTAAAGTAAATCCAATGAAATCTTCATGGATTTGCTTGCAAAAACTGCTTGCAGTTTTTTCCCCACCTGTCACTTCAGTCTTACTGCCTTCAGTACCAGTATTCTTGGAAGTAAAGTTAAACATCTACTTTGCAAGACTTCCTTAAAGGAGGAAGCTTGGCTGAAATTCTGATCCATGCTATCTCTACTTCATGCAGTTCATGTGACACGGGTTTTAAATACCAGAAAATTCATACAGCCTAGAACTGGTATGACTTGTTCCCTCACCTCAACAGCATTCGGGGTAGGGATGTGCCACAGTATAGGTACTTACATGCAGTGGAAGACTACTATGATCCTCCTTCCTTAATCTTCTTAACTGGTTTCCTTATTTTTTGTTAAATTGACAATTTCTTCCTTGCTTTCATTTTTCAATTAAAAAGTTTTACTTGGATTTCTTAGAACATTCACTTTTTTGCATCTTGCTGTGTTACTCTTCTTTCATTAATTTGTTTTCCTCCACACTTCACTCCTCCACTCCCAGAAAAAAGAACCGTGTTGGTGGATGTTCTATATTTCAGATGACACCGTGGCCTTACTGATATGTTTATGCACTTTTAGCAAGAGGAAAAGAGGTCATCATGATATATTAGCTAACTTGAATAATTCCATTTCCTTAAAGAAATTCTCCTGACACTTTGTACTGGATCTGGTACTGCTAACTTCTTGTATCCTGCTCTCATAGGTTTGGTTCATTCCAGATCTGTGGTGGACAGAATAGTCCCTACACTTCTTGTACCTATATCTCATGGGAGTGTGGTTAGCTTTTTTTTTTTTTTTGAAGTATCTGATACTCCCTGAAGAAAGGTGCTATAAGTACAGACCATTATTGCATACCTTCCCTGGTGTTTTTATTATTAACTTCCAGACAGTGCCAACTGTAGTTTCCCTTCAGTATCTGCTTACAGCACCATAGCTTTTCATTCGGAAAACTTTTTTCCTTTAGAAAGGAACACAGATGTTCACACTTAAAAGAGCAGCCAAAAAATTTGACCTACTTCTCCATATTATGCTTTAGACTGAGTCCACATATAAATCGCACCAATTCCAGGCCCTTTCTATATACATTTAGTTTAATGCAGCTTTGTGTGGATAAATTCATTTGATTTATTCCTTATGCTAATCTAGTAATTCAGCAACCAATTAAATTGATAACACAAGCTGCGTTCAGTGCCTTACTACAAAAGGGCATTACACTAATTTAACTTATCCATCTATGGATGGATATGGACCTATATACATGCAACACCCACACTTGGGTTGTATACAGTAAAGTGTGTGCTTTTGGTTGTGTATTGTGTTTTCTGTGTGTGTGTGTGTGTGTGGTACAAGCCGCAGCCATAGACCTTGGCCCTTTTTGCTGTTTCACAGCTATTGCGCTTCAGCCTAGCTTTATGACTGAACCCCAGTCATGGGCTGACAGATTTGGGCCAGGGTGAGACCTGGCACTAGTTGTTGATCCAGGCCTCACTGTAGTATAGGCCTGCCCGGCTTTTGCTGCCCAATTCAGGCCCAGCGAGATAGGCTGGAGCCTTCTTGGGCACATCTGCACATGCAAGCTCGTGCGCATGCAGCAGCTCAAATAGAAGCAGTACAAATTTGAGCCAGGGCTTTTTGCCTTGGCACGTGCGCCTGGACAAGCACTGGCCTCCATCAGTACAAAAAGCTGCCCTGTCAAGCAGCTCAGGGCTACTAACTCTCAGGAACTTCTGAGGCCCAGTCAATTGGTACTTGTGGACACAACCACTTATGCCAGCTGAACCCCTTATGGCATCTTATGAAGCAGCCCTGAGCATCTCTGCACCCTTTACCCACTGCAGCAGTCTGGCAGTGGGGGCTGCTGCCTGGCTTTGACCAGCATGGGGCTCGGGTGACATCAGCAGCGGCCCCAGCTGCCCAGCAGCACACAGAGCTCCATGATGCCCTGCTGACCCCAGCCACACCTGCCTGATGGGGCAGTGCAGGTGCCAGGCAGCTGGGGCTGGGCCCTGCTGCCCCATGCTGTGCAGGGAGTCTCTGCCATGAGGTCGCAGAGCCTCTGCTACTGGCTTTTCTTTTTCTTTTTTTCTTCGCAGTCCATGAGCTGTGCAGGGGGGCTGTGCCTTGCAGGGGGGCAGGGGACCCACCTCTTCCGAGCAGCCCGCACACACAGTCTCTCCATAATCTACCCACATACCACACAGCCACCCACATCCCACCCACCTCCTGCAAACCCCACATCCCCCTCAGCACACATGCTGTGTGCCCAGCTGCCAGAAAGGACGAGACCTGCTGGCAGGAGCTGTGGCTGCATGGGCAGTTGTCCCCACATCCTGGTTAGTGAAGGGGTCACAGGGAGCTCTAACTGCTCTATGGTAAGAAAACCAAAGGCAAACAGCAAAACATATAGGTACTTAGAAATCATTTTACTATGATGACAAAGACACTGGTAGGCTTCCAAATTGCTTTAACACTGTAGATATATCAATAAAACATTGCCCAACTGATCTCTCTAGCTAGATAGATAGATAGATATAGTGGTCCTTTGTTTTAATTGTGGAGGAATATGGATTTTGGGGTATTTTAGAGAGGGGCTTTGGGATTTTTTTTATCAGGGATTTTTCAGTTTTCAAATTCCTGCTAGGGAGGTAAGTGGCAGGACCCAGGCAGAGGAGGCTTCTCAGAGCTGGCACCTTGGACCCAGCCAATTGGGCCAGGAGGACATGCTTTGACAGTTCAAAGAGGCCACCACACTGGGAACATTGTCTGGGTGACAGCTGCCCAAATGGCTGGGCAGGGGGCACATGTGGCAGTAGTGCTGCACAAAGGCCAACTTTGCAGCCACAGCACACTGACTCAGTGCCTCTACTGGCTGTGCAGTCCCAATCTGCTCTCTCAAAGAGCTTTGAGACGCTGCAAGAGGCACATGTGTGCTCATCTGGATGCTCCCCTTTTGTAGTTTATACCCCAACTAAGTGTTATGGTTGGGCTCTAGTTGTTGTTCAGGCCCAAGCTGAGATAGAACTTGAAGTAAAGGTCAGGCCTTTTGCAGTTTTCTGCTCAGCAGAGTTGGGATCGGGACTAGGAATTCTGGGGTGCGGATTACTGACAAAAGCCACAGTTAAACCCTCAAAGCCACCATGTGGAAGTGGAGGTTCACGCTCTATTTCTCCAGGAGCAATGGAGCCCCTTGCAACACAGAAGGACCCATGTGCTTGAGCAGTTCCCCACGGCACAGTGAACCCAAAGAGTAGCTCAGGACTGTCTGGTGTGGGCTCCCTCTCCAGCCCATTGCTGAAGGGCAGGTATAGGGGTGCAGGCCCACAGAACTACCCACGGGGGAGCCCCAAGTTCCAGACTGTCTGGGCATGAGTGACAGCTCCCCAAGAGGATGCCACCTATAGACTTTGCTTTGTAGTAAATAGTGTTTTAAAATTATTAGGGTTGTACCAATATAAATTTTTGGGCCATTACCGATAGCTGATTTTTAAGGGGGCATATTAGCCAATACCGATCCAATTTCCAATACACAGCCCAGCAGCTTGAAAAACAGGGTCCAGCTGGTAAGTCTATTGTGGTAGAAGAGGAGGGGGAAGAGAAAAGGTGGGGGAGGGAGTGGGGCTGGGGCAGGGGCTGCCCAGCTGGGGCAGGATGAGGGGGTGGCTCCTGCTGCTGCTGAGGCATGAGGGGCATGTGCCTCTGAATCTGTGTGGGGGCAGGGCACCCGCTGCTGCAGGCTGGGGTGCATGACCCTCCCCATGCCCTCTCAGAGTGCGCACAGTGGTGGGAGCTGTGCCCCACTCCCCGCACCTCTCAGATGAGCCACGACTCTGTCACATGCCCCACCCCACTCCCCACTGCCCCGGCTGGGCAGCGCCTGCCCCCGGTCCAGCCCCACTCCCTCATTGCATGGGCCTAGATCTGCTCCCCTGTGCCCCTTCCCTGGCCCTAGTGCTCTTGGCCCCATACATGCACAGGACATTTATTGGCCACATTATCAGC